AAATCTCTAAATTCAACTTCTTTTTTTTTTTTTAATTTTTGTTATCTCAAAAAAAAAAAAATAAAACAATTTTTAAGTAAAACAAATATTTTTTATAATTAGTAAAAAACCTCAAAAATAGGGTTATAAAAAACAATAAAAAACCCTAAAAAAAAATAAAAAGAAGAAAAGTTTTTTTTTGAGACTTTAAAAAAACAAAATGACTTTAGAAGTTCCAACTAAAAGACAAGCAGTAATTTTAGTAGAAAATGAAATAACTGATATGGAGTGTAATGCATCATTATTAATGATATTAAACACTCCATTAATTTTATATATTATTGATCATTTATTAACACAAAATGTAGAACAAATATTTATTGCATGTAGCCTGGAGAATAAGATTAAGATTAGTACAATTATTCAAAACAGATATAAGTCAAAAGTAGTTCAATTTATTGTTTGTGACGAAACTAAAAGTTCTGGAGAAATTATTAGACAAATATCAGAAAATTCTCAATTAGAATCGGATGAACTTATTGTTATTAAAGGAGATGTTATTACTACATTACAACTTGATCCAATTTTACAATTTCATAGACAAAATTGTAGAGATGGACATGTAGTAACAGTGGTATATAGAAAGAATCATATTGTTAATGAGTCAAGATCAGATGATGATAAAACAATAGTTATAATTGATGGGTTGACAAATAGAATACTTAAAGTAGATGATAGAAAAATAGAAAAAACAAATAGATCATATTATCTTCGTTTATCATTAAATAAAGAAACACCAAAAATTGAAGTTCATGGAGATTTTATGGAAACAGGTGTATTTATTTTTACAAGACAAGGATTATCATTATTTAGTGATGCAGATAATTGTGATATGAATGAATTTCCTGAAATGTTTTATCCAAGAATATTAGAAAATGATATTACAAATTTTAAATTACATTGTTATATTGCTAAAGACAATGAATATTCTGTTCGTATTAGAGATATTGCTACTTTTAGAAAGGTATCAACAGAAATGTTACAAAGACATGGATATCCATATACAACTGATCTTAATGTTTTTGGATATGATTATAATATGTATGGTCATAATGTTGTAAGTCATGCATCATCTAAAGTTCCATTAAAAATATTACAAAAATCAAAAAATGTATTATTATGTGAAAGAACTACAATTGGAATAAATACAAGACTAAACAATTCAGTTGTTTGTTCTGATTGTATTGTTGGAGAAGGTAGTAATATTGAAGATTCTCAAATATTTAATGGAACAAAAATAGGAAAGAACGTACAAATTATTTCATCAGTTATTGGAAATAATTGTATTATTGAAGATGATGCAATTGTTTCTCAAAAATATTTATGTGAAAATACTATTTTTGGTAAAGACGGTATTGAAAAATCTACTAAACCTAATGACCAATTATTTACTTCTCGTGTACAAAAACACAATGCTTCTAGTTTATTAAGAAGTGGTAGTGCTTGTATTAATTTAATTGATAATGATAGTGATGATGAAGAACAAAATAGTAGAGATGAAGATAAACAACAACCATTTAGTGTATTTAGAAGTACTGTTAAAAAGTTTATTGAAGCTTATTTTATCAATCATGAAAAACATATGTTATTAACTCAGATTACTTCTTTAAAAGCTACTTTTAATTATTCAATGAGTGAGACAGTCTCAGCTATTATTGAAGCATTTTTACTTATTGGAGATCCAAATGGAACAAAAACAACTTTACAACAATTAGAATCATTAGAAACTTCTTGGGAAATTCTTGAAAAATTTACAACAAACTGTGATGAACAAGTTGAAATTTTATTTTATTTATGTGAATTTTGTGATGATTTTAAATATTTTGAACCTACTTTTATTTATATTCTTCATGCCCTTCATGAAAATGAAGTTATTAGTGAAGACGCTATTTGGAAATGGAAAGAAGACTGTTCTAATTCTGAAGACTATAGTAGGTTCATTGAACTATCTCAAGGGTTCTTAACTGCATTAAAAAATGCTCAAAATGAGGAAGGAGATGATGAGGAAGATGATGATGATGAATATGAATACGAAGAAGTTGAAGAAGATGAAGAATAATTCAATTGAATCAATTTTGAATAGGACTTAAATAACTTCCATAAACAAATAATAAAACAAAATAATTAGAAGCCTAAAGAATGAAGCATTCCATTGTCAAAATGGATTTGATCAATTGTAATTTCTTCAGGTTTATCAGTTATAGAACCATTAAAAAGTGAAGGATCAACTTTCATATAAGTATATCCAATAAGTCTAATTTCTTCAGGAGTTAATTGTGCATCATTAAGAGTTTCTTGAGAGAGAGTATAACAATTATTATTATTAAAAGAAGATTTAATAAGATTACGACATTTTTTAGTAATTGGCATAAGACAAGACTCATCAATATTATTTCCATTTGGTAATTTATAGGATTTCCATAAATAAAAATTCATAGTTTTTGAAGTTACTTTTTGTGAAGAAATGCGACACATTAATTTAATTCCCTTTTCAATAAGAATCCATGAAAGAAATGAATTAAAAGCAGACTCTCTATTTCTGTTTTTTCTTTTTCTTAAAAATTCATTTGTTTTAAAAGAAAAAGGAGTATCGACACTATTAATAATTGGTTTATCATTCCATAAATTATTACATCCAACTAATTTTTCATCATTTGTTAAAATATCTAATTTACAATTTATTAAATCTTTAATTTCTTTTTCATTTTTTATTGTATCAAACTGATTTTTTTCAATAATAATTTCACTATTTGAACTTTTTCTTGCATTATTCCACATTTTTCTAACTACACATTCAAATGTTACTGCAATTTCTAACATTTTGTTTTGGTCATATCGTTTATTAAAATAAACGTCATCTGAAATATATACTTTTTTTGCATAACTTGATTTCTTTGTTTTTCTTAACCGTATTTGAGCTCCACACGCAGCTGCTAATACTAATAATTGACTATTACATTCAGCTTTTTTATCTCGTACTTCTCTTTGTTTACGAGCATCATTTGACGCCCCTTTAGATGAATTCATTTGGTATTCTTAGTTTATCTAATAAACAATTTATCAACAAATTTAGTTCAATCTTTAATTTCAAAACCAATTTGCTAGTTTTTATTTAAAATCATTAAAAATTTTGAAACATAATTTTATTTTTTTCTTTTTTTTTTTAAAATAAAACCTTTTTTCACCACCAAACAACTTTTACAAATCACAATAAGAGGACTTTAATGTTTTTTGGAGTATCTTCATCATTAAAATGTTTAGTTGAATACTTAAGAGAATTAGCTAATAAAGCAACTTCTTCTTCTTGGTAAGTTTGTAATGTTCTAACACATTCAAGTACCTACATTTTAATATAAGTGTCATTATTATTAAACTATTATATATAATAATATTTATTATTAATTTACTATAATAAAAAAACAAACATTGAATTTTCCTTTGGAACTGAAAGCACCAGTTGGAACAACTGTATCATACAATAAGATACATCCAGTCATAATTCGTAATAATTGAATCCCATTTGATCCATGTTTTTGTGCTTCTGTACAACATGAATAAGCAACAGTTCGAAGCCAGTCTCCTAAATTATCTAAACTTAAACCATTTTTAATATCTTCATTTAATGCTTCACATAAACAAAGAATCATTGGTGCAGCAAATGCAAAGAACATAGAAATTTGATTTGTTACTTCATCTCTTAACACAACATCTTCACGATGTTTTTGTTTCATTTTACCAACTGACCTTCTATAATAACTAAAATCATTTTGAAGACCAGGATTAGCTAATTTCTTATTATCAAATTGAACAGCAAAATCTATTAATTCCATTAATTTGACAGTAACAGCTTGATACTGAGTAACACTATCATTTCCATTTAATTTACAGATTAGTCTTAGAGATTTAACTACTTCTATTTTCATACTTCTACTATATTCAAAAAATGAATTAATCGTTTGGACTTGAGGTACAATTGCTTTCCATGCAGCCTCTTCTGTTTCTGGTGATGGAGTAGCAATTGCTGCCCTAATTTCAGTTTCTTTTGCTTTATAATTTGTCATTTTTTGTAGCATTTCATTAATATGGCTAGTAACTTCATTAATAGTTTGGAAAGGTTCTTGTTCAGCAGCCGAAGGAGTAGCAGAGAAGTTGATTGGAATGGCAACAATTTTAGAGTGTTTTGCTCCCATGAAAAACTTTTTTTTGATTTTTTTGTTTCTTTTCTTTTTTTTTTAGGTTTTTTATTGTTTCATTTTAACTTTTTTAATTTTTATTTATTTTTTTATCTATAGTTTTAGTATCATTTTGATATAATTTAAAATAGTTATAGTGTTAATTTTAGGTAAGAACAAAATAGAATAAAAAAGGAAAAAAGAGAAAAATAAAGAGTTAAACAAAAGAGCACAATCTTTTAATCAGTTTCAAAAAGTTCTCAATTCATCATCTTTGCATTACTAAAATCCATTTCTGGATGTTGTGTCTTAAATTTTTCAAATGCCTTCATTTTATCAATTTCATCTGAAGTTGGAAGACCTAAATCTTTTTGGTGTTGGTCAAACATCATTTTTTGTACTAATTCTTTAGTATCACTATCTAATTCATTAACATCTCCTACTGTTTCTGCTTTTATTTTTTTAGTATCAATTTCTTCATCTCCAATAATAACACAACTCCACCAATCCATTGTTTTTTGTTTAACTAAGTCAATTACTATAGTAGTTTTATCTTCTATAGTCCAACAACAATCATTTTTTTTAACTAATTTACTTAATTTTCCATTAATAAATGTTTCTCCTTTTATTTGAAGGAATAATTCGTCATTAGTAATTTTACATTTAACGTCTTTTCCTTTAATTGGTGATGGGTATGTAACAATAACAGTTACTTCATTAAGTGTTTGTGTGAATTTATATTTTTCATAAACAGCACCATTATTAATAGGATCTCTTGTCATTATTAAATGAATTTTAAGTTTTTTTTCTCTTTTTAATAAATAAATTAATTAATTTTTTATAAATTTATGGAATTATA